GAGAAAAGTCAAAATTCGCAGAAAAATCGGCTGATTTCGCCGGATTTTAGCGGAAAAGTCAAATTTCGAAGGATTTTCAGGGGGAAATTCTTAGAAAAATCGGCCGATTCCACGGGAAATTTCGGGGGGGGAACTTCGCTAAGAAACAATCAGTAAAAACAGCCAATTCTGCTGGATTTTTTTTGGCAAATTTCGCTAAAATCGATCAATTTTGCGTCGATATGACCAGCGTTGTTTAACGTTTTTTTAACAGTGATAATCATTTGCTCTTTCAACAAAAGTTCGCTCGAGAAATGAGCGAATACTAAGGCCATTAACATTATGGTTAGTGCCCAGTTTTTCGCAACGTTCATCTAAAAATGCCTGGTAGTTTTGGGACGTTGTTTACTCGTTGCGGTGACGAAATTTTTAAGATAAATTTGGACGTTTGGGGTGAATAAAACAGGTGTAATGGCCAAGATAAGTATTAAATATGTTTTGCTGACATATATTTGGAATATTTCTGGCGGATTTCGCGGTATTACGCTTTTTTTGGGGGAATTTCGCGGGATTTCGCGGAAATATCTGAATTTTGCGGGTCCGCGACCGGGCAAAATATCAGAAGCCCTGACAACTAAATATTTGTGAACAGCATCTTGTCAAATCTTATTTTTGCACTATTTCTGTTTTTGTTCAATTCTCACTACTTAAGAAAAACTGTCCATGGACCCGCTCCATAACAGGGGATCCATGGACCCGGTTCATGAAAGTAGTCCATGGACCCGGTCCAAAATGGGGGTCCATGGACCCCTGGTCCATGTTTTGTCCTCACCCCCTTAACCACAGGTATCCCAAACTCTGTGGGAGTTCGTTGAGACTTATGTATACGAGAATGTATGAAAATAAACAAAATATGTCCTAAATTTAATTTTTTGACAAAAATAGAATTCAAAATTACTTGCCTTGTGTTTTTGTTTTGCTTTTTACTGTCTCTTCACTTCTAGAGCTATTTGGAAGCTGTTTTGTCGACATTAATTTAAGATTTTGAGTTGCACTAACTGAAAATCTTAAACGTGTTAAATGGCTTCCAAATAGTTCTTGAAGTGAAGAGACAGTAAAAAAACAAAACGAAAACACAAGGTGAGTCATTTTCATTTCTATATTTTTGGTCAAAAATGGAATTTAGCCCATATTTTGCTTATTTTCACATTATTATTCTCTTGTGTAAATTCAAAGTCCCAACAAACTCCCACAGAGTTTGGGCCACCTGTGCCTTAACCAGGACTTAAAGAAGTCATATCATTAAGTACATAGTCCGAAATTTCCATATTGAATGTTTGTTGCAAGAAAAAAAGAGTCTGTAGTGATACAATGTACATTGCGGTTCAATTTTATCCTTAGTTGGTCTTGGTTCAGTTGGTACAGCTACATGTACAGGTGCGGATCCACACCGGTTTCCACTGTTTTATGGAAGTTGGTCAGATTTTTCATAATAAACATATCTTATAATAATAGTAGAACTTTCCAAGTTGAAATCTGGAAAATGGTCTGCACAATGTTTTCTTTTTCCAATTTCCGGGCATTTGATGCCCCCTCAATGAATCATGAAACCCAGGAAAGGGAACTTTGGGGAGTTAATATCCAAAAAAATTCCGAGGGGTTCATGCCCCCGGGCTCCTCAAGAAGCTCGCTCCCTCAGCCCCTGTTTTAGGAAATCAGTCAGTATTTACCCTAGATCCATGCCTGATGTACATGTAGACCTGCTAACCCCTGATAAAGGAAAATGTGGAGACTCATGAAAGAAAAATTAATCTGGAGATTCTACATAAAGTGGAAAGATTCTATTTTTTCTATATCAAGATTTTTTTTCATTGGGTATTGATTTGGGTGGGGCAGGAGGATTAAGTATTTATTTAAATATTCCCTTGCTATATTTGTTGTCCATGTCGTAATTTTCTGCAATGTTTCTAAGAGGTTATCACATAACAAACAATCATAAAACTGAACACAAGAGGTCATTTCTTTGAGACTAACCAACTAATCATGGCCAAAATGTTAGACAAAGTCGCAACAAGGCTTTAAAAGGTACTAGCATTTCCCATTGGGAGTGTTGTTGTGAGCATGAGAAAAGATAAAAGAATCTTGAGACCTGTGGCAGAATCATGAGAGTTGGCAGGTCTGATGGTAATGAGTTGAAAATAAAGGAAAACTTTAAACTGAGGATAAAATTGATCCACAAGATAATTATACAATGTAATGTTTACTGCAGTAAATGTGAAGCGGAGCAACTTTAATAAGATTAACAAGGATTGATAAAGAAAAATTTCATAATGATAATAATTATTATTAATAGTTACTAAAACCCTGAACACTCAGACACTCCAAAGCAAGCCAGAAACACCTTTAAAACAGCAACAACTAAAGAACATTAACAACAGAAATAACCTGTACAATATTTGGCAGATTGGGGCTAATTATTTCTGTTTGTCTCTAACGTCATTCTTATTTTCCGACTCTTTAGGGGCTTTTAGGGGTATGCTAGATTCTATCATTCCTTTTCTTAGTACATGTCCTGTTTTCTCTCTCTCTCCATCTTTATTTTGACTTTTAAGGAAAAACATGGGAGCTGCATGCAGATTTCTAATAATAATGTCTGTGTGGAAATTCTCCATTTTAATGTCTTTTATCTTGCAAAGACAAAAAACAGCGCAGAAACTTTTCCTTAGAAAGGCAGGAGTAAGCTGAAAGCCAACTGGTGAGAGCCCTGCTGGTCTCATAGATGTGCATTGTATTTCAAAAGAAAACCACTTGCCAAAATTCAGATTTAGATTTATTATTTTGATATATAAATCCACTCAAAATCTATTTTTGGTATTGGTAAGGAAACACAAAGCCTGTTTTTGGATTCAGGGATCCATATTTTCCCTTTCTTGAAGAAACAATTGAACCTTTAATAGTTGAGCAAAACAACTCTGTACATGCATCACAATTCTGGACCACTGGCTAGCTTCTCTGTTTGAAAAAAAAATACCAATCTAAAACTTTTCATAAACATTGTTAACAACATGGAGTTTCAGATCACTGAAACAGATTTCTGTTTACAATAAAATTATTTAGAGAGAGTGGCAGTGAAAGCTTTTTTGATGAAAAGTAAGTTTTTAATATCCTGAAAAGAAGCATTTAAACAAAACTCTCAGAAGTAACAGGTTTTCTTTTATTTCAATAAAAGTAAACAAAATAAAAGATTGCAATATTATGTCCAAAAGTTAACTCAAGCCCTTACATGTATGTACAATGACTTAAATGACCACTTTCCTCGCCTTAAAGGTTCAACCTCCCCTCCCCAGACCACCTGGTCCCTGTAATTAAGGTGGCTCGATTTCAAGGTCAATACTGTACCTCGCAAGTTTGAGCATAAACTACGTGGCCATAATCAAAGACTTGGATAAATTTCCACCACAGTTGTAGTAAATTAAGGTAAAAATTTGTGATGATCAGGGTTGCTATTCCTCCTAACTGAAGAAACTAAAACCTTATTAAACCTTCATTTAGCTGCTATAAAAAGCTTAACGCTTCAAAAGACAACTTTTGGTCAACAAATTCCCTAGACTGCTTCAGAGGTCAAATGCCGTCAGAGAAAAAAAAACACAGGAAATCAATGCACAGGAAACACATCGTCCTCATGATCATGACCACTTGGTCGGCAAAGATAACATTTGCTCAAAACGAAGATCCTCCACAGCATACTTTACCCTCTTTTCAAAGGGGCCAGTTTTCAGTGATCAAGTGCTCTTTTGATGTTGAGCTCAGATGGATCAGGAAGTTTGCACTGCGTGACAAAAGTCAATATTGTGTGATGCACTGTTGTTATATAGCCAATTTCCTGTTGCGAAAAGACACTAATTTCAGCCCTTTGTGAACTAAGGATAGCACATGTGTCTTAATTTTTGAGATCTTTCCCTCAAAAGATGTCTTTCAAGGAGTTTGTAGTGTTTGCTGTTGTACTGAAAGGACGTTGAAGTCAAACAGAGGTTGAGTAGGTCCAGCTCCAGGTGTTCACTTAAGGGAGGGGTCCAACTTAAAAGATAGTCAGATAGAATGACTGAGACACAGTAAGGACTAACTTAAGATCTTTACTTTAGGGAGGGGTCCACCTTAAAGATAGTCAAAGAGAATGACCAAGGAACTAATCAATCCTCTTCTCTGGGTGACTGATAGGAGACTGGTTCTTTGCACATAGTTTAAGGTGTGCAAAAGGTAGAGATGAATTTTCAGGAAGCATATGTCAACATAAAGATCTTTCATTGGTGTGACAGCGGGAAATCTTTTTTTAAGATTTTGTTGTCTTTTTTAACAACACTATTATCTGACAGTTGTACGTGTAAGCTTTTGATAGTCTTTTGTTTTTTATTGAAGTGTCGGTGTTCAAGATTAAGGAAATATTTTGTATATTTTCCCACATCAATTACCAACAGGCTTTGGATCATAATTATCATTCAATGTGCCTTTCGCTTTGTATTTGGAGATTTTTCTCTTTGTAGTTTTCTAGCAGCTAGCTCATCCAGTATTTGAGTCTGTACTGTTTCCAATAAATTAATTGTCCCCATCTAGTCTTTTTTGAAGGAAGGCAGTGTTGTTTTTGAAGCAATTCTGCTGGGATTTTATTGTAGCGTTTGTTTATTATTATAATTTATTTTTATTGTTGTTGTTCTCATAAGTAAGGTTCTCATTAAAATGCAAGTGTTTGATCTCACTGAGATGAAAAACATGTTTCATCTCAAAAGAAAACCTAGTGGTGTTTTATCTGGTGTTTGATTTGGTATCAAGATTCATCCACCTGACCCAAATGGCCATCATTTATTGGCTTCTGACTAAATGAATAATTGATGAGTCTGAGAATAATAAAGTAAAGCTGGGTTTTGTTCTCGTCGCTCAAAAATTATTTTAATTTGCCACACATAAACTGTCCCTACTCTAAACTGTTAGTTTTTGTCTTTTATTTATAGCAGTCCAGCCGAGAAATGATTCTTGTATTGTTGGACAAAGAACTGCACACAGACAACAAATCTCTCATACCTCTGGTGAGTAATAGTACAGTAAAGATTTGTTTTAAGACTATTTTCAATCCTAGAAATTAATATTTTTGGGAAATAAGTGGAGACCTGACCAACCTGTTTTCCTATGATCATGCCGCAGTTCTTCAAAAGGCAGATAATGCTATCCACCCCCAGATATTAAATAATTACCTCCATCTAGTGGTTCACACAACTTGATGCTAATACAAGTAATATTCGAGTGGATATGGATTTATTTGGTGGATATCTCTATCCACCACTTATATTTTGAAGAACTGGAACCAGTTTCATAGTTATGTTAGTACTAAAAGGATATGCATGATATGCATATAGGATATGCATGCATTGCTGTTGTTGTTGTTGGTGTTGTTATTAGCTGTGAAAGGATATGCATGACTAACTCATTGTTCAGATTCTGACTGGTCATAAATTGACAAAAAATGACGGTAAACTCTCTCTTAGGACACCTGTAAGACAGACAACTCCCAAAAACGGACACAAACATGAACAGGAGAGTAATGGTTCATACAGTTCCTCAGTCATTCTATTTGACTATCTTTAAGTTGGACCCCTCCCTTAAGTGAGCACCTAGAGTTAGTCCCTACTGTTCCTCAGTCATTCTATTTGACTGTCTTTAAGTTGGACCCCTCCCTTAAGTGAGCACCTAGAGTTGGTTCCTACTGTTCCTCAGTCATTCTATTTGACTGTCTTTAAGTTGGACCCCTCCCTTTAGTGAGCACCTAGAGTTGGTTCCTACTGTTCCTCAGTCATTCTATTTCACTGTCTTTAAGTTGGACCCCTCCCTTAAGTGAGCACCTACAGTTGGTTCCTACTGTTCCTCAGTCATTCTATTTGACTGTCTTTAAGTTGGACCCCTCCCTTAAGTGAGCACCTACAGTTGGTTCCTACTGTTCCTCAGTCATTCTATTTGACTGTCTTTAAGTTGGACCCGTCCCTTAAGTGAGCACCTACAGTTGGTTCCTACTGTTCCTCAGTCATTCTATTTGACTGTCTTTAAGTTGGACCCCTCCCTTAAGTGAGCACTTAGAGTTAGTTCCTACTGTTCCTTAGTCATTCTATTTGACTATCTTTAAGTTGGACCCCTCCTTAAAGTGAACACCTACATGTAGAGTTGGCGTTTTCTTTTTTTGAGTTATTCTCTTTAATTGTCCTTAGGCCAAAGCTCTTCCTGAAGTGGACACCCTAGAGTTGGTCCCTTCCACTCCATCACCTATAGCTGGTTCCTACTGTTCCTCGGTCATTCTATTTGACTATCTTTAAGTTGGACTCCTCCCTTAAGTAAACACCTACAGTTGGTTCCTACTGTTCCTTAGTCATTCTATTTGACTATCTTTAAGTTGGACCCCTCCCTTGAGTGAACACCTACAGTTAGTTCCATCGAGTTAGTTGCTAAGACTGTCCCTTCCTTAAGTGAACACCTTCAGTTGGTTCCTACTGTTCCTCAGTCATTCCATTTGACTGTCTTTAAGTTGGACCCCTCCCTTAAGTAAACACCTACAGTTGGTTCCTACTGTTCGTCAGTCATTCCATTTGACTATCTTTAAGGTTAACCCCTCCCTTAAGTAAACGCCTACAGTTGGTTCCTACTGTTCCTGAGTCATTCTATTTGACTGTCTTTGAGGATGACCCCTCCCTTAAGTAACACCTACAGTTGGTTCCTACTGTTCCTCAGTCATTTTATTTGACTGTTTTTAAGGTTGACCCCTCCCTTAAGTGAACACCTACAGTTAGTTCCTACTGTTCCTCAGTCATTCTATTTGACTATCTTTAAGTTGGACCCCTGCCTTAAGTAAACACCTACAGTTGGTTCCTACTGTCCCTCAGTCATTCTATTTGACTATCTTTAAGTTGGACCCCTGCCTTAAGTAAACACCTACAGTTGGTTCCTACTGTTTCTCAGTCATTTTATTTGACTGTTTTTAAGGTTGACCCCTCCCTTAAGTGAACACCTACAGTTAGTTCCTACTGTTCCTCAGTCATTCTATTTGACTATCTTTAAGTTGGACCCCTTCCTTAAGTGAACACCTACAGTTAGTTCCTACTGTTCCTCAGTCATTCTATTTGACTATCTTTAAGTTGGACCCCTTCCTTAAGTGAACACCCACAGTTGGTTCCTACTGTCCCTCAGTCATTCTATTTGACTATCTTTAAGTTGGACCCCTGCCTTAAGTAAACACCTACAGTTGGTTCCTACTGTTTCTCAGTGATTCTATTTGACTATCTTTAAGTTGGACCCCTCCCGTAAGTGAACACCTACAGTTGGTTCCTACTGTTCCTTAGTCATTCTATTTGACTATCTTTAAGTTGGACCCCTGCCTTAAGTAAACACCTACAGTTGGTTCCTACTGTTTCTCAGTGATTCTATTTGACTATCTTTAAGTTGGACCCCTCCCGTAAGTGAACACCTACAGTTGGTTCCTACTTTTCCTTAGTCATTCTATTTGACTATCTTTAAGTTGGACTTCTCCCTTAAGTGAACACCCACAGTTGGTTCCTACTGTTCCTCAGTCATTCTATTTGACTATCTTTTAGGTTGACCCCTCCCTTACGTGAACCCCTAGAGTTGGTTCCTACTGTTCGTCAGTCATTCTATTTGACTATCTTTAAGGTTGACCCCTCCTTAAAGTGAACACCTACATGTAGAGTTGGCATTTTCTTTTTTTGAGTCATAACAACAACAACAACAACAACAACATCTTTATTTCTTACATTACATATACAAATATCACACCACCTGCTAATAGCAAGGCTAATCGAGGCAGGTGGTGTGTAGACGGCTTAAGATTTATTACGAATAGTTGAAGTGAAAAAGTACCATATTTATAATATTTATAGTCATTCTCTTTAACTGTCCTTAGGCCAAAGCTCTTCCTGAAGTGGACACCCTAGGGGTGGTCCCTGCCACACTTCAGCCATTCTTTTTCATTTTCTATAAGGTGAACACCTCTTTATAATGCACACCAAGAGTTGGTCGCGGCTATTTTCAGTCATTCTCTTTAACTCTTTAGGTGCATGCTTACCATTTACACAAACCACCCGGGTGGAAATCTTTTGCATAAAAATAAATCTATAAAATTTTACCTGGTGGGAGAACGACCCACTCCAAAGCATATCCAAATCATGTTAACAGACTCAAGCGATTAGAAAAAAAATAATTGCATAGCTTCAAGTCACAGCCGATTTTTTCTAAAACGTCCCAAACGGAATGGCGCAAACCTTTTGATTTCTTGCTTCCCCATGTAAATGGTAAGTGCCCCTAGAGTTAATCCCTGCCATTTCCTGAGTCATTATATTCCATTGTCTTTAAGACCACTTCCATACACCCCAGCCTTCCTTTAAATCCGATGTTTCCTATTGATTTATTTTATTGGCGCCCTTAAAACTCCTATAATTGGCCAAAAACTCCTATTTTTCCTTTAAATGCTATTTATTTAGTACTTAGTTAAAAAAAAGGGAAAAAAGCGAACACTGAGTGCACAGGCCTTCTACCTTGTCGCCTGTGTTTGATGTTATTTCTGGGATTTTGTGAGAGTAGAAAAGGTGTAACAGATGGCAGAGTTCGTCTCAGACCTAAAAATGTCATTTCTCACACCCGTTTCAGGCCTGGCCTCTAGAATTCATACTCGTTTTCAGACCTGGTCTCTAAGAAACTGTGTCATTATTACTCAGATTAGAAGAGCAACAAAAAAGATTTTTTAAAATCCATGTCGAATTCGCATATTTCTCTTTCTTTCTTACTCATTTGGAGTGAAACGATAAATACACTGAACTGACAATACACTATTCACTTTGGCTCTGATGACGACTGATTACCATACAGGTTGTCAAAATATGTTATTTAATTGTCCATCACTAAACTGACAATACACTGTTCACTTTAACGCTGATGACGAGTGATTTCCACACAGATTGTCAAAATATCAGTGATTTAATTGACTATCACTAGACTGACATTGCACGGTTCACTTTGACTCCAATGACGACTGATGTCCACACAGGTTGGTAAAATGTCAGTGATTTAATTGACTATCACTAAACTGACAATACACTGTTCACTTTGACTCTGATGACGACTGATTTCAACACAGATTGTCGTAATATCAGTGACGTAATTGACCATCACTTAACTGGCAACACACTATTGAAATTATACAGATTAATCATGGTCAAAAGACAATTCAACGGGATACAAAGACTGTCACTAAACTGACAATACACTATTCACTTTGACTCTGATGATGACTGATTTCCACACATATGGTAGAATTATCTCTGCATTACAGTGCAGGCACTCAAAGTGGACACTTGGCAGAAGATTGTCCACTCATAATTTTTTCTGAAAACAAAGGATTCCAAAGTTGTTTTGAAAACAGACAGACAGAATTTTTAAATTCTGAACCTTAAAAGGTTCAGCTACAGTGTACGCAACCATGAAAACTTTAAAACCGTTTGAACTTACTTGACCTCCCAGGAAACAGCCCTCAAATTTATGATTGTTTTTGGTCCGTTTGCAAAGAACTTCAAGCATCTTTTGTTATCAGAAAACGTTGTGGTTAGGCAAATTAACTTATTCCAAGTGTCTCGGTTTGACAGGACGACACAGATACGTCATCGAAGACAACACAGATACCCAACGAATGCAACTACATGCAATGTCTTTTGAAGTGAAAGAGCTTCCAAGAGTGGGGGGGTGGGGTGATGGCTTCCACATCAGAACGACCGGGATACCCATCCCCTCACTTATCTCATAAAAGTATTGCTTTGGGTTATGCGTTAAGAAATATCTATATAAACAGAACAAGGTTAAGTCATACTCTGTTAGCTTATGGTGTCCTCTAGGGGTCAAATAAAGCCTGAGCCATGCACAGATTGGTCCTCTTTACTTGTTTAGTTCTAATTTTCCGACCAACAGCTCCATCATTTTTATAGGAGAGTCCTCTTTGGGAAAAGCTCTCCACCAATATTCCAAGACAAGACAATACTACCTGTGTCTTGATGCTGATATTGCATTTTTCTTGGTCAGATACTATACTTCACGCAGTTCCTTACCTGTATAGTTTGATTTATGCAGCTTCTACTATCACTAAAACCTTATGTCTTTGTTACTAAATTTCTAAATAGCTGTAGAGTCCTACCGGTAACTTATGCTTTTCATATTTTTTTTTACATTTTTCACTAGACGTCGGTTGAGGTGGATGCAAGTGATCGTGGAATGAAGAAACACAAGAGATCAATGAAAGCAAGGGGTCAAAGATCATGGAGTGTCAAAGGAACATCACACAAAGTGATCAGCAAGGACAAAAGGTAGCGAAATGATTTACATTTTCCAAGAGGTCACCGTAGCAACAGGCAGTAATCCTCATCGGGTATTTGTTTCATACCATTTTTTCCTTTTTTCACATAGACCATAATGCGCCTTGTCCTCGCCCCCCCCCCCCAAAAAAAAAAAAAAAAAAAAAAAACTAAAAACCAGTGCTTTTTTCAAAGACGAACACTCAACAAAAAAATCACTCAAAGCTAACATGTGCAACCAAAATTCTAAGTAAATAACCACAGAAACTATACACATGAATACGACCAGAGACAAAGAGTACAAAATATATTACAATTATCAACGGGCCCCCTGACGAAAAGGCGATAATCCCCCTCGGGTTTTTCTTATATACCACTTTTTCCCTTTTCAAACAAAAACAAAAACGGCCTTGTCCCCCCCCCCCCCCCCCCAAAAAAAAAAAAAAAAAAAAAAATGCATAACCACTGTGTTTGATTTTTCTTGGGACGACTGTAATACCGAGGAGAAATTGGAAACAATGGTTATGCAAAATTTTGGAGGGTAAACAAGGTGCAAGGTGAACCCTACGTCCTAAGACTGAGTACACCAACTAGACTGCCTACACTGTCTAACACCGAGTACAATGTCTATATCGACTACACTGTGTAACACCAAGGACACTGACTACACCGAGTACTCTGACTACACTGACTACAACGAGTACAAAGTCTACATCGACTACACTGTCTAACACCGAGTAAGCTGACTACACTGACTGCACCGAGTACAATGACTACAACGACTACACTGTCTAACACTGAGTACACTGACTATCACACTGACTACAACTGACTGCACTGTTGTCTACACTGACTGCTGAACTTTCTTACACCGAGTGCACTGACTATCACACTGACTACACTGACTACAACTGACTGCACTGTTGTCTACACTGACTGCACCGAGTACAATGACTACAACGACTACACTGTCTAACACCGAGTACACTGACTATCACTAACTAAACTGACTGCACCGAGTACAATGACTACAACGACTACACTGTCTAACACTGAGTACACTGATTGCACTGACTATACGGAGTACCACACTGACTACATCGATTACACCAAGGACACTATGTACTCTGACCACACCAACTACACTAAGTACATCGACTAAACCGTCTAACACTGAGTATACCAACTACGCATGACTACACTGACTACATTGAGTACTTTGGGTACACCAACTATACTGACTAGACTGCCTTCACTGAGTACAATGACTACATCGACTACCCTGTCTAACACCGAGTATACTGACTATCACCAATTATTAAAATCCAATTAGTGGTCTATTATCAATGCTACGTTCTGATTGGTTGAGCTACTACTAGGCTATACGTTATAGCCCTCTAGTAGCAAAAAGCGCGGGCTTTTGGCGGCAAAAAAGGATTAAAGTCTAGCTTTAACTAGCTAGATTTTTTTTATTCTCGATATTTTAGACCAACTAGTTGGATTTTACTAAAACAATTATTCCTCTGGTCCTCATGGGCTCTGAGTCGGAATAATTGTTAACTACACTGACTGCACTGACTGCATCGAATACATCAACTAAACTGTTATACCAAGTACACTGACTACACTGACTACACCGATTACACTGACTATCACCAACTACACTGACTACACCGACTACACCACGTACACTAATTACATCGACTAAACCGCCTAACACTGGGTATACCAACTAGACTGACTACACTGACTACACCAAGTACAATGACTACATCTACTACACAGACTACACAGACTGTACTGACTACACCGACTACACCACGTACACTAACTACGTTGACTAAGTAGCCTAACACTGAGTACACCAACTATGCAAGACTACACTGACTACACCGAGTACAATGATTACATAGACTACACTGTCTAACGCTGAGTACACTGACTATTACCAACTACACTGCCCACACTGACTGCACTGAATACATCGACTAAACTGCCTTAAACACCAAGTACACTGACTGCACTAAAGTAACCGACTACATAGCCTACATAGACTACACCAACTATAGATACCACACTGACTACACCAATTTCATTCACTAGACTTACTAAACCAACTAAACACTTCTTATACGCAATTTAAATGGCATAATTTAAACTCACTCTGTGGTGCTGTAATTTTAAACTATTAATGGAACATCATAGTCCAAGTTTTGTTTTGATGCCCATTATGACCTTTTTGTACTTCTTACGCGTTGTCCTTCCATAGTTTATTAAGCGATTATTGTTATAACTTAGTATGTGACTTGTTGTTGCATGCTAAGATAGTATAAACGAATGAGTGATTACTTCTTCAAAATGTGTCAGTTAAATCTTAGAGAATTATTGTCGCAAATACATGCCCCTCTCCTTCTGTTTGAATGCTTTTTTTTATCTAAATGGTACCTCTTCTTTTGAAACTCGATTACTTCATTATCTTTGTAATTAGTCATGATTATTTTATGATTTCTTACCATATTTGGATTTTATTTTATTTTGTTAATTATTTAAGTAGTTCCTCTTGTATCTTTTTCGTTTTTCCTTACATAATGTATAGCTATATATTAGATATTTTATTTTTAATTGTATTATGTTGTAGTTTTGGAGGGCATTTTTTATATGGGAATTCAGTTTCTCCCTATTGCTTTCCTTTACCTACTGTACTTTTACATATAGTTTTTTTTTATGATGATCATTGTTATTATTAGTTGGAGTATATTTTTATACAGTGGTAAAGAGCATCATTAAACTTAAACTTAAAGAAATGACATGAGTAGACAAACATTTATTAATTCATATGTTTTTTTTCTCCGATTTCTTTGCAGAAAGGTGAGCAGATTGATGGATAGATTGTACAATGAGTCAAGGGAGGAGCCACGCAGCGAGGATCAAGGAACACTCAGGGATATGAAAGAACTTCACTACTCATCAGAGTAAAAAGAAGAATTGATGAAGGAAGTAAAGGTAGCAAGTTTAGATATTTAAACTTTCTTTCTCGAAAAAAATGGGGCAGGTATTGAAGAAGGTCTGAATGGATGCATAACTGATTCTCTCAGTGAAAGGTTATAGCAGTTGTCAATCTTGCGTGACCTTCACTTCATTTTAGAGCAAAGTAAGCTAAATTTAGTGAATGTCAATCAAAGAAAAGCAGTTATACCCTGCGAGCAGAGGTTTCTTTCTTGCATGGCTTTTAGCGTTTACGAAGTCGTTTGCGTGGCTTGTCTGTCGCAATGTAAACAAACCAGCTACGCAACAGACAAGCAACGCGAACGACTTCGTAAACGCTAAAAGCCATGCAAGAGAGACTGAACCTCTGCTCGCAGGGTAAGCAGTTAAAGTTGTGACACGATGGTTCAAGGCAAAGGAGCCCCAAAATGATCGACTTATTTGATTGCCCGGAGAAGATTGGAGATGACCAAAAACGTTTTCCAAATAAAACTTCGTAATTATTCAAAAAACATGAAAAATCGTTGGTGCAAAGAAAGACTAACCATGAGAAGGAAAAAACAGACAAGATCAGAGCCAATAAAATGATCAGGGGAAGCCCAATAAAACATGATCAGGTTCAAAAGTAAATTGCCTGTTAAAATTTCCAGAAGCTCAACGCCAAAAATATTTCGAATTAGTTTTGCAAAGTAGTTTTTATTGTGTAAAAAATTTCGTTTGTAACGTCAATTATTCTAAGTCCTCGTTTACGTGAGAAATTTAAGACCTTGATGATCTGTATGCAAATTCTATTAAAAGCGGCTGCACATTAGGCCAAATTTCAAATTTTTTAATCATGAGTTTTGAATTCTTATATCAAAAACAGTACTTCTTATAGAAATGGGCTCTTGACAATTTATGGTGCAAGTTTTTATGAGTACTTATTTACACTAAATGAACAACAATCCAAAACCAGTCGAAAAATAAATAGAATTTTGATGGCTTTGTTTTGATTGACAAACAAACAAACACCAGTTAAGATGATAAATATGCAATGGTCGCCACATTATTGGAAACAGCGTAAGCAATTGCTCAGGAAATCAGCGCACGATGCAGTATTACTTTTCACTTTTTAAGAAAGACCATCGCCATTGCTTGATTTGAGTTTCTGCCAAGACAGACGAACATTCAATACTGCAGAAAATAGCGCCAGAAATCGGGGAATTTTGTAGATTTGAACGTATTTATTTTCTTCCAGCAAATATATAGCGCGGTTAATTTGATTGTGTTTGTATTGTGGTAGGAAGCAAATTGCTTTCGAGTGTGCAAGCTATTTCTATTGCCATACAAGCAAAATTAACCGAGCTATTTGGATCTCCTGCGATCTTTTACACAATTGATAATATGTTCAAATTTCACAGCGTTTCCCAGTTTTAAGCGCTCTGTTCTGTAGCATCGTGTGTTTTTCTGTCTTTGCGGAAATTTAAGTCTAATTGTTTTTGGTTTACTCGCGGTGCAAATGTTTAAACGTACAAATTTCAATTCTCCATTCAGACCTTCTTTATTTTTTTTAAGAAGCGGCTAAGATTTCCAATTCAGGAACAAGCTTTAAGTACTTTCGCTGAAAGACGCCGTCTTGGTAAATTATGCAGCGCAATTTCTTTCTGAAAATGTTAGTGTTGTTTAGATAAATTTTATGTTAATTTCTTGTTTTCACGAAAATATGATTGGAATGTGGCTCCAAAAGACTTAGAAAAATACGGCGCGCCCACGGCGCATGCGTCGTATTTTTTAAAAAAAAAAAATAGAAGTTTATTTACTTCAACTAGTATTAATACTAATAAAACAAAGAAGAGAATAAAAAAGTATTTTTCAACTTGTCTTTTATTTCTTGCTCTTACTATTATCACAATACAATAAAGCAATCAACATTTTGTTCTACTTTAATTGTATTTTATTTACTATTACTTTCAAAATTATACTAAGTCTTTTGGCGGGAAAATCTGAGCAACTTTGCACAGCGTTTCCCCTGACAACATTTTCGAGACAAAAATATGCAAGACGTGCCTTTAGAAAATTCTCAGCTAAATCTTTAATACAATTTCTCGTGCAAAAGTTTAAAAACCAAGTAAAACGAGCAATGTTTTCCTGCAACTTGTCGCGCACAAGGCCACTTTGGAAGGCAAGATGCGGTTTGTTGCGTGCATTACTTTCTACTCGCATAGCAAATTTTCACGCTGCAAAGAGTCGAAGTCTTTTCTGCCCTTCGCAACACGAAAATTAATTGAACGAGTAGATGGTAAAACACACAAACTGAATCTGTGTGCTTTACCATCTATTCGTTCAATTAGTTTTAGTGTTGCGAAGGGCAGAAAAGACTTCGACTCTTTGCAGCGTGAAAATTTGCAAAGCGGGTAGAATGTAATACACGCAACAAACCGCATCTTGCCTTCCAAAGTAGCCTTGTACGCGACAAGTTACAGGAAATAATTGCTCGTATTACTTGGTCTTAACAGTTAGAAGCAAAAATGGCAAGCTATAAAAAGTTCCGTGTGAAAGACAAAAAATGCGAATTTACTCAAAAGTTGTAAAGCCAAACGAAATATTTCCGAGTAAAAAGAACAAAATATTCTCCTTGCGACAAATTTATCGCTTTTTGGAAAGTTTCCCTCCCTTTTGTAATTCTATTTTTGTTTTTAAACAGATTTATAGCTTGCCAAGTTGCCTCTTACGCCACCTCCTGCCGCAAAATTTTTCTACTAACACCTATTTCAGCTGACACAGTTCGTATTCATAGCACAGGAACCGACAAAAGTAAACTTTAAGCTGCAAAATTAAAATTCCCCTTTGATACGTTTCTTTCGGTAAGCATTTGCTTTTCTTTGCTGTTCCCCCAAGTTCATAGTTTTAAACCGCAAACCGCCATAATTGGAAAAAAAAGGTAATTATAACCTCCGAATTATTAGATATTTTTTCCTGTGCCGAGTTAATTGTTCACTGAAATAAGCCTTTTACCAAACTAATAATAAAAATAGCTTCCCATAAAACCCCTTCGTCTGGTTTTAAAACGAAAATTAATTTGCTTGCATGTATTGCTTAATCAAAAAGTGAATTGAATAAAACTTGGACAGACCACATATCAAATTAACACCGAACGACAAAAGTCACAAAATGTTCAGCCAAGTAAATGGATCAACTCATCTGAAACATCTATGATCAACACTCGAAATAACCTAATATACAAGAATATAAATAAGCGAAAAGAGTTTCACACAACGTTTCCATGTCGCCATGATCAAGTGAAAAAATAAACTCGAGAACAAACGTAACGTGTTTGCACGTGTGAATGAAAATGAAATATGTTAAACAGTTTTGTTCAGATGGACGCATATTGCCAAAATTTATCGAAAAAGCCTTATAAAATTTTCGTTGCGGTAAAACCTAATAGTGAAAAAGTTGGAACAGTAGATTCGATTCGGTACTTTAAATCTTCAACACATGTGCCCTTTGCTATTTCTTCCTTGTTTTTGTCAACATATTGCAACATAATTTTGGTCTTGAATACTTGGAGACGGCGGTGAAACACGTGAACTAATGTAAACGTTAATTGATTTCATGTAAGGCAAAATTGCCAAATGTTATTGAACAGCTTTACAGTTTTCAGTTTTATTTTTTGAAATCTAGTGGTGATAAAATTGAAGAAAACGTTCTGCATCTTTACATCAAGTTATGTTTCAGTGCTCCAGTTGATAGCCAATCATGTGTGTTCGATGATAAGTTTTTCAATCTATTAAGGAAAAGCTACCGATTGAAAAACAGTACCATCTTTGGTTATGAATGTTCTTTTAGCAGGAAAATATATTGCAAAGTAATAACTGAAAAAATGAGTGAGCCTTGTTGTTTTTACACCAGCTTTGGTTGGAAAATTAATGACAAGAGTTACAAGAGTCAGTTTTCATGTTTCTACTTTAAGTCAAGTTTCAAGTTAGCACAGTGTTTGTATGATTAGAATTTATATCACTCCATATTAAAGATACGGATCATAAAAAAGACCGAAAGATATGTTTTTCTTGGTATCATCAGTGCGAAAAATCTAAAATGATTTGACTTCATTATGATAACACAGCGTTGGAGTTTCTTTGATTTGTCGTTGGCGTTATTATTCAGACAAAATATTCAAAGCAACGGTTCACGTCTTCTTAAACCTCATTTCCTTTTTTGGAGAAAAGAAAACGAATTTTACCCTGTAACTTTCATATTCAAAAAGCAGAACTACACAAACATAGCAAAACCATTCACCAGTTTGTTTTCATAGAAAATCATAGTCTTAACATTCCTAGTTCAAATAAAACGAGCTACCGCATAGGTCATGAGTCAGAAAGATCGCTTGAAGGTTTTGATTTCAAAATCATAGAAAAAAATAATAGTCTCAGTTAAGATGTGTACCAGCAAATCTCCTTATCTATTATTTTCGCCTACTTATTCATGAATAAATTTCAGCAGCTTATTATGTCGTCTTCAGTAAAGTGGATGAATCAAAACCTTGTTACTGACACAAAAGAGTGATAGTTTGATTATCAAGTTTAATCATCTGGAATTCTCCGAATGAGCAAAGCTCGCCAATCTATTTTTGTCAGTGGTTTTTTGTGGTGCGTAAATGACCTCTCGATCGATTAATTGAAATTGTTCCATAAAAAGGAAAATGAAACGATTGAATAACAGTAGCATCTTTGTGAATGAGTGTACCCCTAAGCTGGAGAATATCAAGCAAAGTTATGACTGAAAACTTGAGTGCCCTTTGTTGCGTATTACACCAACTTTGGTTGGAAAACTAATCACAAGATTCAGTTTTGATGTGTTGACTTTGACTCGTGTTTCAAAAGAATCAATTTTGGAAGAATTTATACATGACTCAGTTTGGAATGACGGAAAAAGAAAAATCTTAACACCTTGGAAACATCAATGCGAAACATCTTTGATTTGCTTTAAATCTGACAGTACAAAGTCGATTT